CTTCACCAACACAAGACCTCCTCACCCCACCACCAACACCTCCCTCACACCAACACCTGGCCTCCCTCACCCCACCAAGACTCCTCACACCCACCAACATCTCCCTCCCACCAACACCTTCTTCCACCACCAACACCTCCCTCACCACCTCCTCCCTGCCTCACAAGACCTCCCTCTACACCTCCTCCACCAACACCTCCTTCCACCAACACCAAGACCTCCCTCACCTCCACCACCAAGACCTCCTCCACACCACCACCAACACCTCCCTCCACACCAACACCTTCTTCACACCAACACCAAGACCTCCCTCCCCCACCACCAACACCTCCTTCACACCAACACCTGGACCTCCCTCACCCCACCACAAGACCTCCCTCCACACCACCACCAACATCTCCCTACACCAACATCACCCTAACACCAACACCAGACCTCCCTCCACCACCACCACAAGACCTCCCTCACACCACCACCAAGACCTCCCCTCCACACCACCACCTCCTTCCACCCAGCCTACTACCTCCCTCCACCAGACCTCCCTCACACCACCACCAACACCTCCCTCACACCAACACCAAGACCTCCCTCACCTCACCAACACCTCCCTCCACACCACCACCTCCTTCACACCAACACCAAGACCTCCCTCATCCACACAGACCTCCCCTACCCACCTCCCTCCACAACCCAAGACCTCCCTCACCTCACCACCAACACCTCCCTCACACCACCACCTCCTTCCACCAACAGACCTCCCTCATCCCCACCACCACCTCCTTCACACCAACACCACTACCTCCCTCATCCCACCACCAGGACCTCCCTCCCACACCAACATCTCCCTCCACACCAACACAGAGACCTCCCTCACCTCACCACAAGACACCTCCCTCACCACCACTAACATCTCCCCTCCACCAACACCAGACCTCCCTCACCCCACCACCAAGACCTCCCTCCACCACCACCTCCCTCACACCACCAAGACCTCCCTCACCCCACCACCAAACCTCCCTCACCTCACCACCAAGACCTCCCTCCCCCACAGACCTCCCTCACCTCACCACCAAGACCTCCTCACACCACCACTAACATCTCCCTCACAGCAACACAAGACCTCCCTCCCCACCAAAGACCTCCCTCCCACACCACCACCAAGACCTCCCTCACCCCCCACAGACCTCCCTCACACCACCACCAAGACCTCCTCCACCCCACCACCAAGACCTCCCTCACACCAACACAATACCTCCCCTCACCTCACCACCAAGACCTCCCTCATCCCACCACCAAGACCTCCTCATCCCCTACCAGACCTCCCTCACCACCACAAGACCTCCCCTCACTTCCACAGACCTCTCTCACACCACCACCAGACCTCCCCCCTCACCACCAGACCTCCCTCATCCCACCACCAGACCTCCCTCACACCAACATCTTCCTCCACCACCACCAACACCTCCCCTCACACACCCCAAGAGCTCCCTCCCACCCCACCACCAAGACCTCCCCTCCACCAGAACCTCCCCTCACACCAGCATCTCCTTCACACCAACACCAAGACCTCCCTCATCCCACCACAAGACCTCCCTCACACCACCCTACATCTCCCTCACACCAACACCTCCTTCACACCAACCAAGACCTCCCTCCACACCACCACAAGACCTCCCTCACCTCACCACCAGTGCTCCTCACCCCACCACCAGACCTCCCTCACACCAACACCAAGACCTCCTCACCCCCCACCACCAGACCTCCCTCACCCCCACCACCAAGACCTCCCCTCACCTCACCACCAAGACCTCCCTCACCTCACCACCAGACCTCCCTCACCCCCACCACCAAGACCTCCCCTCACCCCACCACCAAGACCTCCCCCACCTCACCACCAGACCTCCCTCCCCTCACCACCAGACCTCCCTCACCCCACCACCAAGACCTCCCTCACCTCACCACCAAGACCTCCCTCACCTCTCCAAGACCTCCCTCCCCTCACCACCCCTCTCCTCCCTCACCCACCAACACCTCCCTCCACACAGACACCAAGACCTCCCTCACCCTCACCACCAGACCTCCCTCACCCCTACAGACCTCCCCTCACCACCAGACCTCCCTCACCCCCACCAAGACCTCCCTCACCCCCACCACCAAGACCTCCCTCACCCCCACCACCAAGACCTCCCTCACACCACCACCACCTCCCTCACACCAACCCACCTTCACACCACACCTCCCTCACCCCCCACCCACCTCCCTAAACCCACACCAACATCTCCTCACACCAACACCTCCTTCACCCCGGTCACTTCTATGAAATTTTCACGAGCAAAAAAAACTGATTTAAACATTAATAAACAAATAAGTACTTCCACAGACCTTGGTCAAAGTACCTCTCCCCCGCCCCCCCCCCCATGCTCCCTCCCTCCCTCTCCCCCATCTGCCCAGCCAGGGTTTTAGGCTTACAGTTTTTATCTTACATAATATCTCTGACTTAAGTTAGGAGAATATAATTTGCATTGCTGGAATTCTTGCAAGACAGCCAATAATTTGAATATAATCATCATATATTTTGCTCAAGAGATAAAAGGTTTAGTACATTAGTGTACAGTACTGTAGTACATTTTATAATATAAAGTTTTTCAACTGTATTTTTGGGTAGATTTACATAAATCTCTAAATTTATTTTCATCTATTTACATGCACACACCATACTAAAAGAAACGTAAAAGAAATAAATGACCTTAGTGCAAAGCTGGAGTGCTCATGTACTAATTTGATTACGGTACTAAAATTGTTATGTCTAGTGCAAATTATATCATGTTTATATTTAAATTAATCACCATCTTACAAGACTCCCAGCAATGTAAATTATATTCACCTAGGTCATTTCACTGGCTTTTTATAAGAGAGAAGCTTAGTCACTTAAGAATTAATAAATAAAAACGCGTTATTAGACCTTGGGCCGGTGCCAACTGTCAAACGTACTACCTCACCTCCCGCTCCCCTCTCCCACCGCCCCCTCCTCCCCAGCCTCCTCCCCACGCCCCTCCTCCCCGCCCCTCCCCTCCCTACTTGCCCCGCCCCCACCCCCCGCCCCCCCGCCCCCCACGCCCCCCGCCCCTCCCTCCCTCCCTCTCCCCCATCTGCTGGAATCCTTGTAAGACAGTGAATAATTTTAATATAAACATCATGTATTTTGCACAATAGATAAAAATTAATCACTTGTATCACATTACAGTAGTGATTTAAGAGTAAGAGTGTATATGTCCGTATATAGTAATCCACATACACGTAAGTACAAATACCAAGTTTATGTGATGATCGGACAACGTCCATTTCGGTTAACGTCAAGTTTCCAAGAACGTATCTAGGATGTTAACCAGCGCATGACTGTATTATCAATATTTTAACTAAATTTCAGCATGACCAATAATTTTAATATAAAAATGCAAAAATATTCAAGACACCAACAAAATTGATGTTCACTCCACTGTAAACAAAGCCACACTGATGCCTGGTTGGTGAGTCAAGTGGCTGATGGGCGCACACAAAACTAGATCCCTGTACTGCATATATTATCAATATGTTAACTAAATTTTAAAGTGAATAATAATTTTAATATAAAAAATGCACAAATATTAAAGGGCACAACCTTCTTGATATTTACTCCACTGGAAACGAATGTAAACATAGAACAGATTACTGAATTGGCAGACTAGCCCGTCAGCTGATGCTCACAACAAAACGTGTTTGTCGTAAGGATTTCGTTAATCGAAGTTTTGTTCGTTAACCGAATTGAAGATCCTTATGGGAGGTAATTCGTTAACCAAAATTTTGTTAATCGAACCGTTTGTTAACCGAGGGACCACTGTACTTCATTAAAAATTAAAGAGTTAAGGACTGGAGACCCAAAAACTTCCCTAAACAAGGTTTAAAAGTTATATTTAATAACTCAACACAAGCAAGGAATGTACAGTGTTCGGGTATATCATGGAAAAGTAAAGAGATGAAAAATGCACAAATGCACCACAACCTAGCTGCCTCCAACCCGCCCATCATCCCACACATTGGGTGGTAATACTAGTTGATGGTTGTGCACTTTAACTACCAACTTCAGGATTTTTTTTTTTCGGAAGATGAAGTCTTTCTTAACTCACGAGAAACCCTCATAAACGGGAAGGAATATTGTATACTATACTGGGATGTAAGACATCTCCTCCCAAAGCAATCAAGCTGAATTAGGGACCAGTAGGCACAATACACAATAGATATCTTCTACTTTTCTACTGTAGCTTTATTTAACTACAGTCCAAAAATTTATATAAAAGTAAATATAAGTAATTTATTGGACACTTGAAGGGGGTAAAGTAATAATAATGCTGAGTGTACATCAAGTTATGGGGTTAAAGAAGATAGTTTTTTGGGGAGGCTCCAGCCTGTTTCTTTTTCTCCATTGTAACTAATTAATTATGTGTCAGGGTTTGAATCTACATACTGTATACGTAGTCACATTTATGAGCCATGTTAATGAGGAACACAGAGAACCCCCATTGTAAAACTCTGACCTTTGAACCTGTAAATGCTGAGAGTTAGCTGTATATAATGTTTGTTGGGTGGCTGGGAGACCTGTTCCGTTCAGTTGTTGTTTTTTTTTTTTGTTTGTTTTTTTACGGGAATTAGCCCACCCGGGCACAGGTCAAATGACCCACAACGGAGCCTGGGGGGGGAGGAAAGAACGGAAAGAAATTGTAAATACCGGGGTATAGAAAAAAAGGTTATACTGTATTAATCTACACCACGAAGATGCCGGAAAACCAGCATGGAAACACAGAAGAAGGCAGAGCATTCCACAGTTTGGGAATAAGGTTCGGTTAATTGATATAAATTCGAAAAACACTAATGATAAAAGGAAACACTGAAATAATAAAATTTACAGGCATTTAGTACATATTCTTTTTTATGTGTGGTTATATTTTTCTGTTCTTGTTTTTCAGTGCTAAGAGGGCAAGATCCAAGTGTAAATGTGGTGCTACTGGAGGATATGGCAGCTGTCATGGGTGTCACCGTTGCCATGGCATGTATGGGCCTCACTTCCTTCACTGGTTCACACATTCCTGATGCCTTAGGTTCTTGTCTCATTGGTGGAATCTTGGCTGGGGTGTCAGGGTTTATTATCTATACAAATGCTGCAGCTCTGGTTGGAAAGTAAGTCAAGCAGTCATTTTCATTCTAACTTGTTTAATGTCTCATCACTGTTTTATGGCCATTTTTCCTTCTTGCTTAGGTTAGGTGTGATTATGTGACGGCATCTCCTCTTGTCTTTGAAGTCATTTCACACAACCTATCCCAATGTCATTCTTGGCTTACCCTTGGCTCTCCTCCACTCCACATTCACACTCGTGTAATTCTTGATCCTATTTGTCTCATCCATTCTCTCCCTTATCAGTTTCTTGATTACTCTTTCCACAACTTTCCTAACATGATTTGACAGCTTCAAGCCCCTATAGTTTCCAAATTAAAGTATATCACCTTTTCCCTTGTCATTTTACAATTATGCTCTTCAGCCAGTCAGGTGGAGCAGCACATTTGATCATTAACTGCATTGATCAGGTAAGCACATAGGTAGTAGGCAGCTACCAAACAGGGAGGTACTACCGTCTGGGAAGATATTGGAAGCATAATGTATTGTCTAATGCAGCGGCTCTTAACCGAGGGGGAGGGGGTGGGAATGGCCTTAACAGGTGTGTGTATGTGCCCTTGGTTTTCGTGAAGGCTCATCCAGATACTGTACTTCAAAATGTCGTAAATGGTAACTACGTCAATCAAAATGTGCTCTCTCTGACATGCGGCCACGTATTCGGGATCTGGTAGCTCAGAAGCAGTGTAAAAAATCTCACTAAATGTGTTCTCACGAAATATGTTGTGTATTTGCAAGTTGCTCATACATACTCTTGAATAATTAAAGTTATTAAAGTAACAAATGAAAAACTAGTTTCACAATTTTCCTATTTAATTCAAGAGGAAATTGTTTTAGAATTTTTAGATTTAGAATTTATATGAAGGAAGGAGGCAGGCGTGGAGATGAGGACCAACTGATATTGGGGGCGAGACCCTAAAAAGGTTAAGAACCACTGGTCTAATGGTAGACCCTGCTGCCATATGGCTTCACAAAAATTGTGAATAAGTCCCAGGTTGCTCATCTGACTTTCTGCCTCATTTACAAACAATTGCAGGGTCTCAATTGTTTCTCTTACCATTGACAACACAACATACAGTGGTCCCTCGGTTAACGAACACAATTCGTTCCACAGAGTCGCTCGTTAACCGAAAATTTCGTTAACCAAATCCATTGTTTCAATGGGATATTGGGTAATTGGTTCCAGCTCACAGAAAAGTACATACAAAGTAAAAAAAAAATGCAGTAAAGTACACTTACTTTGATGTGTGTATGTAGAAGGCTCCTGGTTGATGATGATGATGGGAATTAGAAGTGGGAGTGGAGGAGAAGGGAAAAGAGAAGGAAGTGGGGATGGAGGAGAAATCACCTTTCAGGGGACCCATGCTTGATGCAGTAATTTCACCAATAAAATTTTAAGTTCACTAGATGTAATTCAAGATTATTTTATTTAAATCAACACTGCACTGCGCTATATATTATCAATATGTTAACTAAATTTCAGAATGATCAATAATTTTAATGTAAAAATGCAAAAATATTCAAGACACCAACAAAATCATTGCTCACTCCACTGTAAACAAAGCCAAACTGACGCCTGGTGGGTGAGTCAAGCGGCTGATGGGCGCACAAAAAATTATTTTTCTGTACTGCATATTATCAATATGTAAACTAAATTTTAAAATGACTAATAATTTTAATATAAAAAATGCAAAAATATTAAAGAGCACAACTTTCTTGATATTTACTCCACTGGAAATGAATGTAAACATAGAACAGATAACTGAATTGGCAGACTAGCCCATTAGCTGATCAGCTGATGCTCACAACAAAACTTGTTTGTCGTAAGGATTTCGTTAATCGAAGTTTTGTTCGTTAACCGATTTGAAGATCCTTATGGGAGGTAATTCGTTAACTGAAATTTAGTTAATCGAACCGTTCGTTAACCGAGGGACCACTGTACTTACAGTATAAGTCCAAAAATCCGGACTGCTTGGGGATTGGGTCGGTCCGGATTTTCGGATTTTCCGGATTCTCAGGCAGTACTTTTAAAATTCAAATTTAAGGAGGAATAAAGAAGAGATGAACAGGTACATTTTGAAAGTTTATTCATTAGCAAATACAGCTAGACCCCGACTTAAGACGGGGTTAGGGACCCAAATCCAGGTCGTAAGTCCGAATGGTCGTAAGTTCGACATAGATAAAAAATCTACAATGAAATACAGTACAGTAAAAGTAATAAATAATGAGGAATGGATACAGTACAGTGAAAGTAATAATTAATGAGGGAGGGATACAGTGTGACTGAGCACTTACCTTTAATGTAGTCAGCTGAATGCACATGGGGTCCCCATAATTTTCTAATTATACATGGAGACTACATTAACTGGAAACGTTTTGGTATAGAAAATGCGTGCGTCATTTGAAAAAAAAAAAAAAATGGTTACAACTGCGGCGGTCGTAAGTCCCGACGGTCGTAAGTCGGGGTCTAGCTGTATAGCATGCTTCATTTATCAAAACGAGCAGTTTTAATGAAAAAGCTGTGAATTCTAGAATTTTATTCTTTACCTTTTTTATATCATAAATTGTAGACTTTCCAATGTCGTATGTTTCCATTAGAACAGTATTGCTCACACCACGTACTAGTTTCTTAATTATTTCAAGTTTGTCACTCAATTTCAACGTGTTCTTCTTTCTCTTCACAACGAAGTTTATCTACTTTAGGCGCCATTATTATGGGCTTGTACAGTACTCTGTAAATGGAAAGAGTAGGACTCAAAATATTGTTATACAGTGGTCCCTCGGTTAACGAGCGCCTCGATTAACGAGAATTCGGTTAACGATTTACCTTCCATAAGATTCTTAACTTCGGTTAACGAGCAATCTCTCAATTAACGAGTTTTTTACGAGCCGACTTCAACATGTTTTCGCTTGCATTTGGCGGTCCACCAGCTGTAGTATTAGTCCGCCAATACAGTAATCGGTTTTAGGGCTTAAATTCCTTACTATTTTAGTAAATATCAAGAAATTTATACTATTCAATAATTTTAAAAGTTTAATATTAACTTTTTTAGTCATTTTAACAATTATTGAACATAATTGAAGGTAAAGAAACTAGTTTCTGGCATGCCATCCAGCCTGTTAACACACCAGACAGGCGTTAGTCTCTCTCTGTTTTCAGTGGAGGTAACATCTTGCTTCAGACTCTCTTCAACTAAATGCTTTTTTTCTGTGTTTCCAAGCAAATTATTGGTCATTTTGAAATTTATTTTACACATTGACAATATATAATGCAGTGCATTGTTGATTTAAAGAAAATAATCTTGAATTACACCAAGAGAACTAAAATTTTATGGGTGAAAAGGTGCCATGGGGTGACTTCTCTTCCACCCCAATGCCTTCTCTTCTCCCTTCTCCTCCACCCCCATTCTAATTCCCATCATCATCATCCAGGAGCCTTCTACATACACACCTCAAAGTAAGTGTACCTTTCTACCTTTTTTGTTGAATTTAGGCAATTTTCGGTGAGCTGGAACCAATTACCCAAAAACCCATTGAAACAATTGTTTCGGTTAACGAGTTTTTCGGTTAACGAGCAACCTGCTGGAACGAATTGTGCTCGTTAACCGAGGGACCACTGTATTACAATGGTATTCTATTCATACTGTGCTTGATATAATGCATTCACGGAAATGTAATATTTTTGCTGAAATGACGTACGTATTACAGTGGAAAGTGGGATGAAATCGTGACGAAAACAATGACTTTCGCTTTCTTTCGTTCAAAAGATGTTACCGTAATCGCTTTTCGAATGGTTTTCAATTAAAAAACTGTTGTATTACAATAATATTCTATCCTAATTGACTTGAATAAATACTACGATACCATAGTTCTGAATATTTTCATTAAAATCCATCAAAATCACTTTCCTTGTCATCGTCTGCAGCACCAAACAGCTTCTCCCTGTCCTCTCCTTGAACAGGGCTAGAAGGTACGTGTTTTTCGAATCGTTTTCAGTTAAAAAACTATTACATCACACGTATATTTTACCTAAACTGCGCCTGAATGAATAAATAGTAGTTTTGCTGAAACGTGATGTATTTCAATGTAAAATAGGATAAAATACATGAAGAAAACAAAAGACTTTACCTAAGCTTCCGATGTTCTTGAGATGTTACTCGTTTTTTTAATAGTTTTCGGTTAAAATTCTGTTATATTACAATGATATTCTATTCATACTGTGCTTGATATAATACATTCACGGAAATGTAATATTTTTGCTGAAATTACGTCCATATTATAGTGGAAAGTGGGATAAAATCGTGACAAAAACAATGACTCACTTTCTTTCGTTCAAAAGATGTTACCGTAATCGCTTTTCGAATGGTTTAATTAAAAAACTGTTGTATTACAATAATATTCCCTCCTAATTGACTTGAATACATACTTTAATGGAAATATACAATATTTTTGTTGAAACTACCCGCGTTTCAGTGTAAAGTGTCGTAATAATAAATGGTAAACAATTTGCCTTCGGCACTCGTGTTTCAGGCACGGCGAGCCTCAGTTTATAGGACGTAGAGCGTTTTTACTGAAGGTTTTGTTGTTCCATTACCCTCAAAAACGTGGGTCGAATTATAAACAAGGAATATCTTAAATTAACGATTTCTTGGTCAAAAAATCAGGGTCGACCGATAAACGAAGGGGGTTTTAGACGAGTATATACAGTGAGTTCTGCTATAACGCGTGTTTTGATAACGCGAATTTGCTCTTTTTCTATTTCTCCAATTTTGTGGTATTAACTGTGAATATAGTAAAGAAGAATATCAACAAGAAGCGTTCTGGTGATAGAATTCCCGGTGATGATCGTAAAAGAAAGGATATAACACTTGAAGAGAAGCTCGATTTTATCAACCTCAAAATCACCCTTCTCCCCCATCAAGTAAAGTGTAACATTTACTGTATGATTTCATTATTAGATATGAATGTAACATTTATTTAGACTGTGCTATCCTTTGTGTTAGGCTAACTACTAAATTTTTTCGATTTCGAGTAATCTGCACCTAACCCTATTTTCTCCATAAGCCCTGTTATTTCTATTACGCGATTTTCTATAACACGACATTTTACAAGAACACAATTATCGCGTTATAGCAGAACTACCTGTATACTGTATGTTGTCACAGTTTGATTGCTCGTTTTAAAGTGGCGACCACGCGGTCGCTTGTTGTCGCTGTGCAGCTGTGGCGCTCACGCATGCGCACACACACAAAAGCCCGCTAAAAAAAAAAAAAAATAGTTTACGAAAAGTCCGGATTCTCGGGTGGTCCGGATTTCTGGCATCCGGATTTTTGGACTTTTACTGTATATTGTTTCTCACTCTTAATTTTTTTATTTCATTTTTGTATTTCTTTAAGGTTCTTTATTGTTATTTTTATTATTATTATTATTATTGTTAACATTATTATTTTTGTATTTTTATTATAAATTTTACTTATCTGAATTATTATTATTATTATTATTATTATTATTATTATTATTATTATTATTATTATTATTGTTATTATTATTATTATTATTATTATTATTATTATTATTATTATTATTATTTTTATTAGTACAGGTTGTACCTCTCTAGTCCTGCATTCTGTGGTCCAGAAACTCCTGTGGTCCGGAACGATTTTAGTTTGTCCAATAGGTATATAGGCAGCTTTTTTTTTTTTTTTCTACTTATCTGAATTATTATTATTATTACAAGAGTATTAAATTTTTGCCCCTCAGGCTAATGTGGTCAGTGACCTATACCCGGGTGGGCTAATCCCCATAAAAAAAAAAAAAAACAAAAGCCGCTTGGGAAATGGGTTTGTTTACATCGGCAGTTCGGCTCTCTCTCTCTCTCTCTCTCTCTCTCTCTCTCTCTCTCTCTCTCTCTCTCTCTCTCTCCTCTCTCTCTCTCTCTCTCTCTCTCTCTCTCTCTCTCTCTCTCTCTCTCTCTCTCTCTCTCTCTCTCTCTCTCTCTCTCTCTCTCTCTCTCTCTCTCTCTCTCTCTCTCTCTCTCTCTCTCTCTCTCTCTCTCTCTCTCTCTCTCTCTCTCTCTCTCTCTCTCTCTCTCTCTCTCTCTCTCTCTCTCTCTCTCTCTCTCTCTCTCTCTCTCTCTCTCTCTCTCTCTCTCTCTCTCTCTCTCTCTCTCTCTCTCTCTCTCTCTCTCTCTCTCTCTCTCTCTCTCTCTCTCTCTCTCTCTCTCTCTCTCTCTCTCTCTCTCTCTCTCTCTCTCTCTCTCTCTCTCTCTCTCTCTCTCTCTCTCTCTCTCTCTCTCTCTCTCTCTCTCTCTCTCTCTCTCTCTCTCTCTCTCTCTCTCTCTCTCTCTCTCTCTCTCTCTCTCTCTCTCTCTCTCTCTCTCTCTCTCTCTCTCTCTCTCTCTCTCTCTCTCTCTCTCTCTCTCTCTCTCTCTCTCTCTCTCTCTCTCTCTCTCTCTCTCTCTCTCTCTCTCTCTCTCTCTCTCTCTCTCTCTCTCTCTCTCTCTCTCTCTCTCTCTCTCTCTCTCTCTCTCTCTCTCTCTCTCTCTCTCTCTCTCTCTCTCTCTCTCTCTCTCTCTCTCTCTCTCTCTCTCTCTCTCTCTCTCTCTCTCTCTCTCTCTCTCTCTCTCTCTCTCTCTCTCTCTCTCTCTCTCTCTCTCTCTCTCTCTCTCTCTCTCTCTCTCTCTCTCTCTCTCTCTCTCTCTCTCTCTCTCTCTCTCTCTCTCTCTCTCTCTCTCTCTCTCTCTCTCTCTCTCTCTCTCTCTCTCTCTCTCTCTCTCTCTCTCTCTCTCTCTCTCTCTCTCTCTCCCTCTCTCTCTCTCTCTCTCTCTCTCTCTCTCTCTCTCTCTCTCTCTCTCTCTCTCTCTCTCTCTCTCTCTCTCTCCTCTCTCTCTCTCTCTCTCTCTCTCTCTCTCTCTCTCTCTCTCTCTCTCTCTCTCTCTCTCTCTCTCTCTCTCTCTCTCTCTCTCTCTCTCTCTCTCTCTCTCTCTCTCTCTCTCTCTGTGTGTGTGTGTGCTTGTCTATACAGAGTACAACATTTAACCCCACGTCAATATATAGGAACAGTAAATAAGTGTTGCTTTCATATTCTTATGTAGAGTAATGACGATATGTTTTCACATGTGCACACTTACATACGCGCAGTCTCACTTTTTTTTACCATTAATGGTGAGCTACTTATATTGTTCCATTTATTAACATTAAATAACGTTACAGGAACTTCAAACAACCATATTAATTTTTTTACATTAATTTTACTACAGCTACAATCAGGGTCTTATTTTCTTCAGTTTTATATGTACAGTAGAAGTCCAAAAATCCGGACTGCTTGGGGATTGGGTCGGTCCGGATTTTCGGATTTTCCGGATTCTCAGGCAGTACTTTTAAAATTCAAATTTAATGAAGAATAAAGAAGAAATGAACAGGTACATTTTGATAGTTTATTCATTTGCAAATATAGCATGCTTCATTTATCAAAACGAGCAGTTTTAATGAAAAAGCTGTGAATTCTAAATTTTATTCTTTGCCTTTTATATATCATAAATTGTAGACTTTCCAATGTCGTATGTTTCCATTAGAACAGTATTGCTCACACCACGATCTAGTTTCTTAATTATTTCAAGTTTGTCACTCAATTTCAATGTGTTCTTCTTTCTCTTCACACAACGAAGTTTATCTACTTTAGGCGCCATCTCATCGTGTGTTTTCATATTCCACGTATTATTAATAGATTGTATTGTTAATTTTGCACACACAAACATTAATTCAATAAAAACAAATTCAGAAACATTATCATTAGCTACTTCTATTGTTCCATTTATTAACATTAAAAAACATTACTTAAAACAACCATATTAATTTTATTACAGCTACAACCAAGGTCTTATTTTCTTCAGTTTTATATGTAGAACCAGTCAGCCACTGGTTTTGTAATCAACGAAAACAATGCTGTGTCATTTCCTCGTGTGTTTTAATATTCTACGTATTATTAATGAATTGTATTGCTCATTTTGCACACATAAACATTAATTCAATAAAAAAGACATTCAGTAATAAACAATAATGAATCTTTCGTACATAAGAGAAATGACGCTGTTTACACGATTTTGCACGTCGTCTGCACGTTAGCGGGCCGTTCAAACCCGTCGAAATTCAAGTTTCCGCCGTCAAAATTTTTATTTATTTTTTTTTTGTGTGTGTTCCAGTAAAATACGTTGAATTAAAAACTCGCGAAATTTGAGAAGCTACTATACGACATTTAACCCTTCAATATGTCTTCAAAGAGACCATGATGCAGAGAAAGTGGTGCTAATGCTTCCAAGCATAAACACAAGTCACTACCGTATCTATCCAGGAAAAGGGTGAATTTCCATGGTCCGGCAATTTCCATGGTCCGGCACCGGTCAGGTCCCGAGGTTGCCGGACTAGAGAGGTACAACCTGTATTATAGTTATTATTATTATTATTATTATTATTATTATTATTATTATTATTATTATTATTATTATTACTGTATTATTATTACTGTACTATTATTACTATTATTATTATTATTATTATTAGTAGTAGTAGTAGTAGTAGTATAAAAAAAAGTAGCTATAGCGCAGGAGGTGGGCGCCTCGAACTGGTTAACTACGTTACCGATAAGGGCAAATGGTTTCAGCCTTAACAAACAAGAATTTACAGATGCCATTGCTCTAAGGTACGGTTGGCCAGTAGATGGTTTGCCCTCCCAATGCGTGTGTGGCTATTCTATGATGGCGATCACGCCATGGTTTGCAAGAAGGGGGGCTTCATATGCATGAGGCATGACGAGGTAAGGGATCTCACAGCAAATATGTTGAAGGAAACCTGCCGGGACGTCATGGTAGAACCGACCCTCCTTCCACTGGATGGCGAGATCCTCCAACACAGGACCTCAAACACATCTAACGAAGCCCGTGTGGACGTCAGTGCTCGAGGATTCTGGACGCGGGGACAGCGAGCTTTCTTCGACATCAGGATTTTTGATCCCATGGCCGTTTGTCACCGTAACCTAGCTCTCGATGCTGCGCATAGGAGGAACGAGAACGACAAGAGAAGGGCATATGGGGAGAGAATTCAAAATGTTGACCAAGGCAGCTTCACTCCTCTAGTGTTCACAACCTCTGGTGGGATGGGCCCAAGTGCAAGATGTTTCTCGCCAGACTGGAGCTGATCTCCGAACAAAGCAGCCAGAGTTATGCACAGCCTGGATGAGATGTCGACTGTCTACTTCTCTCTCCTTCGGTCGGCTTTGCTCTGCCTCAGGGGAACGAGAGCTTCTGCCCCTACTCCGACAACTGCTGCAGATATTGACTATGAGGCTACAGTCGGAATGCCGCATGGATCTGCTCAACTAATTTAACACAGATAGGATAGCTTCTTATGTATTAGGATATTTAATATTAAGGTAAATAAATGGTGGTGAAGGTGTGGCTATTAGGGGAGGCTGGAGGCCACGTTTATAAAAAAAAAAAAGTAGTAATGGTAGTACATTTTCGTCCCCCCCAGGCCCCGATGTGGGTCTGTGACCTGTCGGGCGAGGGGTGGGCTAATCCCAGTAAAAAAAAAAAAAAAAAAAATCACAGCCAGCATCCTGTGTCAAGTCTTGAAATTTTTTTTTATATGTAATTGTCTTTTACAGATCCATCCCACAGCATCGATTGGAGAAAATCAATGATGAGCTTGAGCGTGATGTGTTAATTCGTGCCATTTATGATGTAAAAGGTATTGACATGGGCACTGGACTTGTGCGATACAAAGCTGAAGTGGATTTTGATGGTCGAGAGCTGACAAGAGGGTACCTGGACAAACAAGATTTAGACATTCTCTTGAAGGTAAGATGAGATAAGAAATATAGTATGTTATCAATCTGAAGCCCAGATGACTTACAGAGAGCTCAGGCTCTCATTTGGTTCAACCATGTCAATATTGTTATTATTATCGACTCTGTATCTGTATTTTCCTGGCTAAATAAACTGTTTCAATATCAATATCAGTAGTTAGAATAATGGCAATGCTCCTGCTAGTTACCAAAATGTACCTCACAGGAGTTTTTCAGACACATTTTTGTTTGATATAAGACTTCCCTCCATACTACTGGGGCTGCACGAGTCAACTACAGATATAATTTTAATACACTATGTAACTGCTCATCGGAGCGATTTTGGCTGTGCAGGACAATAAGACCATCTACGTTGACTTGAAGAATATAAATCAGTCAAAACCTGTTGAATACATCTCACATGTACTTTCATCACACGACATGACTGATCATTGTCACGAGTTTACGCATAACCTAGCAATTGAACATTTAAAGCAAACTACACTCACTACCGTGAGTTCCCTCATGACAGTAACAACTGCTGATACATCAGGACACGCAGTTTGAACAATATGATCAATGTACAGTCTTTCCTCGACTTACGACAACCCGGACATACGACAGCCATGGTCGTATAAAATATTTTTCACATTATGTATTTTCGAGTCCTGGCGTTAGTGATTGCGCTGTGTACTGACAAAACTTTCGTTTGTAATTCCCTTTAAAATGGCTGGCAAGTGTAAAAGTGAGAGTTCTCGTGGTGCTGAGAAGAAAAAGAGACACCCATTTTAGAATTTCTATGTATTATTTTCGCCGTAAGTCGAGGAGAGACTACAATTATTCAAGTCATTTAGTGTTCTCAGGGGATTCAACAATTCACAATCATCACTCATGTGTTAAGGGTCTAGGGGTAAACCATCGAGGACAAAGACGATGTCCTACAAGGGTAATGTTGGCTGGCGAGAATCAAGATGTTGCCTCCACAGGAGAAGGCGATAGTCTGCTCTCAGGCTGTGTCTCATGGGCAACTGTGGGTCCATCGGGACGTGTTTTGATTACGGTCGCTTAGTCAGCTATCTTAGTTGTATACAGTCTCCTCACTCCACCTCTCTACCTCTTCTCTGTCTCCCTCTCATTTTCACTTTTTCCTCTCTCCCTCCTTCTATTTCTATTCTGCCTGTATCTTCACTTACACATGTTGCTGGCACACACAATTCTGCATGGCAGTAACAACTATCCCATGAGGCTTATTAGGGAGTTTTAGGTCTATCCATTCGAACACTGCACCTCTGAACCCTCAACGAGCCAGCACCAAAACATAAGAAATGACTTGTGTTTGAGGATATATATACTGACATGTTTTGAGGTCAGCAAGATGGACTGGATCTCTTCATAAAAATATTTAAAAAAAATAACTTCTCAGGAAAAATAAGGAAAATATGGGTACGTTGCCCAAATCCTTTTATTGGAGAGTACTACTGTACTGGTTACTAGAAGTCCAAGTAGTGGAGAACTTGCTGTATATAACTTTCAGGAAGGATGAAGGAATGGAAGGAAATGTAAATGTATGAGTTTTGAAAGGGAACCAATTCCCAAATGTTTAAAAGAATGAACAATGGGAAAATTATAACCCATCCATAGCTGGCAATATCCTCTACATTAATACTCTTTAATGTGACACCTTTATAATTTGCCTTACATATGATCTACTCCACCTGTAACAACACACCACCTTCTTAGTCCATTAATACCTAACACTGTTTGTACTTGCTCAATAATATTTTCTTTTAGGAAATGCAATCACTGAAAACAATTGACGAAGTGGAAGTATTTATGCTCAAACATGGAGAGAACATTGTTGACAGTCTAGGAGCAGAAGTGGACCGAATAGAGACGATACTCAAGGTACAGTAAGAAAATACTCTCTAGAAATGTATATGTTGCAGTCAATGTGTTAAATCAGGTAATCTGTAAAATTTCTGTGAAAATTTTTTGTTTCATGTTGTGTATAGGGTAGGTTAGGGGAGGTTAGGTGAGGTTAGGATATTCATCTGAGAACTTCAAAAATTTCATTAAACTTCACACTGAACCGAAACTGACTTAATCTCACATGTACAATGAAAGACAAAAGTCATGTCGTGAAATTTGGTGAAAGCATATGCCGAAGGGCTAAACTTTTGGTGCTCTCTGCCTTGTGGTAGGGGGGCTCTCATAATGTTTCACGAGTTATATTTAATCTTTGGACAAAACCGCGACGCGACTTTTGTCTTTGATTGTACACGACACATAAACAGCATGAAATGGGACATTTTTCGGGTATTTTAGAGATTCTCTGACTAGACACATTGACTGAAACATATACATACACATCACATTTAGAAGTTATTATACTGGGTACATAATTAATTCTTTCATGATTCAAGTTATATTATATGTACTCGGGTATTTAAAAATGTACAGTACAGTACTATAATTTTTCGTTGCAGAAAAGCCATCCAGAGATTCGTCACTGTGATCTAGAAATTCTGTAGACAATGGAACAAGGGTCTGCTGTCTTCAGCTTTATTTAGTTGTACCTGTATATCTTGAAGTGTGTGTGTCTACAGAAATATGTGTTACCATTAGTGTGTGTATAGAATGAAACTGATAACAACATAATGACAAGGTATGTCTTTTGATAGTCTCTCATTCTCACCAGAATACCAGATAGCAATAAGAGGTCACCAGTAACTTATTAATACTGGCCAAGAAGAAGCAGTTTATTATGTGAGATGGGTTGAGGGCCTTTAGTAGCTGAGGCCTTTTAGCAGTATGTACGTTTTTTGTTTTTAATCAAATAACAGCAGATCGTTTCAGGCTTATAAGAAATACAATAACAACAATGAAACAAAATTTTTTTAGATAAAATAATATCTATAGAGGAAAAAATCCTATTGTATTACTTAAGTTAATTAAGTACCGGTAGTGAGTGTTGAGGCATTGATACACCTTCATAGCATAGAATAACAAAGATTGCTTAGTAAAGATTCTGCTCTACAGTGGTTATTACTTCACTCACTCAACATGATAATGTGGAGCCTTATAAACTGATGAGGGTTGTGCTATTTGCTTTGCCATTAGTTTAGTCATATTTAAGGTACAGGCATTAGAGAAAAATTATAAGATTAGCTGCTTAGAACTTTAATCTCCCCAATGGTGAGTATATTGTATGTTGCTGAGTCATTACTGTTGGTAATGATGTTATTGTACTTTAAATACAGTTGTACTGTACTGTACTGTACAAGAAAAGAACCATGGAGAATTTTGGTTTCAAGATGCACATCAAGTATTTCAGAATATATATGCAACCCATTTTTCTTTGACCTAATTATTGTAAGTGGTGTGTATATATATATATATATATATATATATATATATATATATATATATATATATATATATATATATATATATATATATATATATATATATATATATATATATATATATATATATATTGTATAGAGGCAGCAGTATATGCGTAATGTGATAAATATTACAGTATGCGACTTCAGTGATATGGTATACAGCAGGCATGGGCAACCTTTTCTTAGTCATGGGCTGCATTAGGTATTTTTATTGGGGGCCTACCCACCAAAATTTGTATCCTACCTAACCGAAAAGTAATGTTAATATTGTGTTAGCACGGGCAGTGAAGCAGTTTATTGTCACGTCCACCTTTTGATATTTTCAGTTTACAATCAGCTTTTTTCCCATTTATGAAACAAATCCATCATAATGATTTCTTAAATATTATGTTAATGTTTCTTGGCATTTAACAGAAGAAGAGTGAGGCAGTCTGTGAGTTCGTTGATTTTTCCTACTGTTACAGCATTTTTCTTACTTGTGAGACACACCACCCCACCAGAATAATGCCAATGTTAATCTTGTCATATGAGGAACTACAATGAAACAATCAATAGGTACGTCTCTCTCTTTGTGTATGTATATATATATACAGTCAACCCTCACTTTACGCGGTTAATGTAACCCACAGGGTACCGCGGAAAGTGAGAAACGAGTAAAGTGAATAACATAACATATGGGATTAAATGAAATAGAGACCAGCTGACCCCCAAACTCCACTTTTTCCAACACAATACCTATGTTCTAGTAAAAATAACATCTTAATTTTATGATGGTACATGCACACAATTAATACTTAAGAGAAATAGAGAAATACAGTCGCCAACTTAATGTCCATTCAAATAATGGACACGACTCCCTCCCCCTCTCACACTACACTGCCGGCTCTTCCCTCTCTGAGAAATTTTGGGGGGAAAACCAGGTATAGTAATAAATAATACCTCAAACTAAAGTTAGGATAATATAATTGACATTGCTGGATTCCTTGTAAGACCAGGAATATTTTGAATATAAATGTCATGTATTTTTCACAAAAGATAACATATTTACTCAGATTAAACATTTTATCTAAAATTTGTATGTCTAATGCAAAATATATGATGTTTATATTCAAAATGATCACCAAATTGTAAGAATTCCAGCAATGTAAATTATATTCTGGCCGGGTAATTTGTATGAATTTTATGAGCTAAAACAAATATCTTCAGTTAATAAAAAAAAAAAAATTCTTCACGACACTATCTGTCAATCAAAGTACCCCACCTTGCCTCACCCCCTCTTCCAACCACGCGGTCAGTTCCAACCCTCCCCCCACCCCCCACCAATCGTCCCTTCAAGAGAAAGAGTGGGTGAAATAAATAAATTTTAACATTTTGTATTAAATAATACCTCAGATTAAAGTTAGGATAATATAATTGACATTGCTGGATTCCTTGTAAGACCAGGAATATTTTGAATATAAACGTCATATATTTTGCACAAAAGATAACATAATTACTCAGAGTAAACATTATATCTAAAATTTGTATGTCTAATGCAAAATCTATGATGTTTATATTCAAAATGATCATCAAATTGTAAGAATTCCAGCAATGTAAATTATATTCTGGCCGGGTAATTTGTATGAATTTTATGAGCTAAAACAGGCAGGCAGGCAGTCAGGCAGGGTGGCGGGTGGGGGGTGGGGCGAATCTAAAAATAGCTCTTGAGCCGGACACTCTGCGCGTATATGTGGAAAAAACCCGCGTTAAGTGAAAGTTCAGCTCTGGCGAGGCGCCGCATATACGTGAAATCGCGCTAAGCGAAACCGTGTTAAGCGGGGCATTACTGTAATTGACATTTCTGGATTCCTTGCAGGTCAGGGAATATTTTGAATGTAAACTTCATATATTTTGCACAAAAGATAAAATATTTGCTTTGTGTAAACCAAGTTATTACATTAGATCTAAAATTTGTATGTCTAATGCAAAATCCGTGATGTTTATATTCAAAATGATCATCATATTGTAAGAATTCCAGCAATGTAAATTATATTCTGGTCGGGTAATTTGTATGAATTTTATGAGCTAAATAAAAAAAAAAAAAAATTATACTTCACCGCGTATATGAGTAGATGCACCGCAGAAAGTGAAAGTCCGGTTCTGGCAAGGTACCACGTCAATGAGAAATCGCGGAAAGTGAAATCGTGTAAAGCGGGGTAATACTGTACTGTACAGGTATACTGTATACATAAATATTACATAAATTATTTCTGCAATTCTTCACAAACAAAACACATAACTCAATTGAACATGTGATGTCGAACATGAACTGTAAACACTGTGTGTGATGTAAACAGAGCGCGGGTTTAAACGCTACGTAATTTGATTTTCTCTTTTATTTAAAATTTTACAATTTACATATACTGTACAGGTATACTGTATACATAAATATTACATAAATTATTTCTGCAATTCTTCACAAACAAAACACATAACTCAATTGAACATGTGATGTCGAACGTGAACTGTAAACACTGCATAAACCCGCGCCAAGCCACAACAACCGTTCGAGTGGAATCACGTTAGAGCAAACGCGTTCGCGTTTTACAAATATTGATCCTCTATTCATCAATCGCATTAGAGCCAATTCGCATTGTCAAAACACTGGTTATAGCAGAACTCACTGTATTGCTTTACTCACCATAAACTGGCTGCATCTACCTGAACCACAGGCCACATTAGAGTTTCGCAATCACTCCATGGGCCGCCGCACAAACACATGGTCCGGCGGCCCACGGGCTGCAGGTTGCCCATGCCTGGTATACAGTATTGTATTCTTAAATGTTCCAGAGCCCGGTACTGTATATTGCATGCACACTGATTCTATTGAGAAAAGGTTATTACTACAAGTAATTAACCTGGACAGAGCTTATTATTACAGTACATTGACTGCTGGTGTTTGTATAGGTTATTAGGGATAAGAAGTTGACTGCAAGGAGAACACTGTCAGGTGATAATTTTTGGTTGTGCAGTGTTGGTGATATCCTGTGACAGCCTTTCTTACTTTACCCAATTATTCCTCTAGATCTAACAAAGCCTTTTCATTCACAGCTGTTTACTTTTATACTGTACATAATATTGTCTTATAACATAATTTTGGTACATTTGGGTATACAGTAGAACGTCGATTTAAAGCGATTAAATTTAAGATTATTGATTTAAAGCGACACCCACGATTAAGGACTATGTTTTAATTTAAAGCGAATCTTTCCTATTTTGCGCGAGTCAATCTGGCGCATCATATTTTAAAATTTGGGCATAATGTTTCTCTGGGCACGCTACACTGTCCTAAGGACAAAGCTGTACTGTACATGTACTCAAAATAATGTACTAAATGATTATTAAAATAATTTTTGTCAAGTGCAAACTATAGCTTGATTAAATTCAAAATAATCACTACCGTATCTTATAAGAATTCCAGCAATGTAAATTATATTCTCCACGGTCACTTCTGTGACATTTTATTAACAAAAAACAAAAACTCAATCTAAAGGACATAAATAAACAAATAAATACTTCACTAGACCTTCGGTGCTAACTGTCAAACATGTCACTGTCACTCCCCTCACCCCCCCCCCTTCTTCCCAGCCAGGGTTGGGTGGTTATAGGCTTACAGCTTTAATCATATATAATACCACAGACTAAAGTTAAGAGAATATAATTTCCATTGCTAAAATCCTTGTAAGACAGCGAATAATTTGAATATAAACATCATATATTTTGCACAAGAGGTAAAAATTTTGCCCTTTGTAATAAAATTAATTACAATTTGTCAGTTCAGTGACATTTTATAAGAGAAAAACTTAGTTAGTCTTAAGGATGGATAGATAAATAAGCACTAGACCTTGGCATCAACTGTCAAACATATCACCTCACCTCCCCCATCTTCCCATCAGCTGATTGCTATTAACCAGACCATTTCACGTTTCTTAATTTTAGCTGTGTTGATTTATGAGTGTTTGTTTTAACATAATACTGCAAAAAGCGATGTTTTGTTTATTCTAGGAGATGGGCTCTGGTGCATCTGGGTAGACTCTCAGTCTTTTTAGTATTTTGTGTTTCTCTCAAGTACCAAACTAAATTATTCCATTGAAACAACACTTCGATTTAGTGCAAATTTGGTTTAAAGTGACCTCTCTTGGAACGTATCTCGTTTTATATCGACTTTCTACCGTATACTGTTCTGTGTATTACCTAGGGTAAAGTACAGAAGCTCCAAACTGGTAGAAT